ACAATAGTACATATAAGTAATGGCATATACTGACTCAACTCATAGGGGAGTATAGACCTTCTCCATTCTTGATATGATAGCAGAGTCCTGAGATGTGAGTCCAAGAATTATCTTATTCTTATGAGGTAAGAAAGTTCAGTTAAACCCCACTCACTCCAGATTATCCTTATTTCCTGGTTATTTTGAGTTGGGGATGAGATGGAGAAGAAGGCTAGTGACTTGTCCTTTCCTCGGGGAACCCCTCCTCGTGGCACCTGGTATTCTTGTAGGTTCTGAGATGGCACAGCTGGTGTTGCAGAGCCTGTGTAGCTATTCACCAAACCCATTTTCTTGTCTTTTTGGGCACACGAAGAACCTACCTTCCCCTCCTTTTCAGCTATATGTGGTCACGTGACTGACTTTGGCCAGCTGCATGTGAATGGGTCTGTGTTTACTCCAAAAATGCCTAGGTGGTTTTAACATGATGAAATCTTTTATTTTATTCATCATATTAATACAAGAAGGAAAAATGTATGATCTTTTTGAAAAACGTCCCCAAAACATTTGATACAATTCTATACCCATTATCTGATTTTTTAAAAAGTAACCTTAAAATGGGAGAAAATTCCTTTAACTTTTAAAGCGTTCTTAGTAATTGGTAACTGTTATTCTGTTCATTACATAACTTTTGATAGTCGATGATCATGGCGAGAATTTGCCTTAAAGTAGCTTATTATTTAATCATTTAAGAAAAGTTCTGACCAGTGATGTTTACTAAAGTGAAGATTCCAAAGAAGAAATGAGTTCACTCAATTGAAGTTTATGCTCTGTTGCCAGAATCCTCGTATGTTACCAGGGAGAATAACCTTGATCCCCACATCATTCCTTGGTTTGACTTTGGGTCTAGGAGCCAAACCTTAGGGGTCCCTAAAGAGCCCCAATCTTTCATCATGACTGTTAAGCAGAGGGGAGTTTCCATCAGGGTGGGTGGGGAGAAGCTGAAGGTTTTTCCACACCCTCCTCCTGAGGGTCAGAGCTTCTCCACAGGGAGGAGATTCTTGTGCTCAGGGTCTGCAAAGCGCCTCTCCTTACTCAGAATCTCAAGCCAATTCATGAAAAGGAACTTTTTTGGGACTCACTTCTCTAATTTCCTCTGTACGCTTTTCCTACCAGGTTACAAAAAGGTAAAGGTCTAGGTTGCCTGCCTGGTAATGAAATTGCACTTATTTTTTAACTTCTAAAAGTGTTTCTGTCGTCCTTGAATTGGCTGGAATTTCAATTTACTCAGGCATCGAACATTCAAAAAGAAGCTTGCGGTATTTGGCAAGTGGTAAGAAAAGAGACATTAAACTATTAGCACTTTTAAGTACCATTGAGCAATACTTTTATTCCCTAAATGCAAAGCTTTGAGGAAGAATGTGTCTAGTCATTAGCTGGTAGGCCAGATTCCTCAGGAGTCTCTTCTGGTCTCATAAGTAAATAGAATTTCTTTGTTGTAATTATTTATTTTCCCGAGAGGCCAGAAAGGCTGTAATCTTAACAACAATTTTATCTGTTTCCTCTCTCTGGAATGATTTACTGTGTATACCTAAGAGACTGGGAACCTCTTTGGGTTTCCCTAGTCTAGGCTTCCAGAAGATATTTCTTTTTTAAAGGGCCCAGGTGTTAAGCCAAATGCCCTGTTTATAGAATGTTAAGGTTATGACACAAGTCAATAAAAGCCTGGAAGTGCTGTTACTGCTGACATTGCACCCCTAACACACGCCATTGTGCCTTTCATTTCTCTTTCACAATAGTAGGGAGTTAAGGAGGGAGTGTAAAACTTAACTTTGAATTTCCTGGCTTTTGTTGGTTTGTTGAGCAATCCCAATGCTATTGAATTTTCTCCCCTTGCTGGGTGGTTGTTTTTCTGGTGTGCAGTTGTGCATTGTGTTTTTCTAAGAATTACAATGGTTTGGACACGTCATATTGACATGAATGTAAACTGTAGATTGACCTTTGGCATGATAAGTGGAAGCAGAGGAATACTTGTAAAATGTGTGAATTCGTTTAAACCTGACCGTGATTTCCAGCAGGAGAGGTGATTTCATGTTTGGAGTTTACTGGGCATCTCTCTTTCTTTTTTGTCCCCTTGGGTTGGACCAGCTCATTGAGTTGCTGTTATTACATGAAGGCAAACACCTAGATGAAAGGGGAAACATTCCACCAATCGTCACGGTACTTCCAAACTTGGGAGCCCATATTTATCCTTCCGAGGCAACAGATATCCCACCAGCTCACTCTTTCTAGTGGATTTACTGCAGAAAAGTGGCCCTGAGCCTCTTGATGCGGCAAAGCTAAGAGGTCTCACTGGTTCACCTTTTCGTTTATTACTTTTTTTATTAAAAATAATTTATACTAGGGCCGGCCCCGTGGCCTAGTGGTTGAGTTCAGCGCACTCTGCTTTGGCAGCCCGGGTTCGGTTCCTCAGCATGGACCTATACCATTCATCGGCGCCCACGCTGTGGTGGCAACCCACTACAAAATAGAGGGAGATTGTCATGGATGTTAACTCAGGGGGAATCTTCCTCAAGCGAAAAGAAGAAGATTGGGGACAGATGTTAGTTGAGGGTGAATATTCTTTAGCAAAAAGAAAAAATTATATTTTTTTGTTTTTCTCATTGCAAAAGCTACAAATGTTCACAGTAAGAACACTGTTAAGTAAAGATAGGCAAAAAGAGGAAGACAAAGCATTATATAATCAACCACAGCTCACAATTCAGTGTATATCTTTGTCAGCATTTCTCTTATGCAAAATTAATTTTTTTTAAAAAGCGGAATCATACTGGGGCTGGCCCCGTGGCACAGTGGTTAAGTGTGCACGTTCCACTTTGGTGACCCAGGGTTCACCAGTTCGGATCCTGGGTGCGTACCTATGTACCGCTTGTCAAGGCACGCTGTTGTAGGCATCCCACATAAAATAGGGGAAGATGGGCATGGATGTTAGCTCAGGGCCAGTCTTCCTCAGCAAAAAGAGGAGGATTGGCAGCAGATGTTAGCTCAGGGCTAATCTTCCTTAAAAAAAAGTAAAAAGGAATCATACTACGCATACTGTTTTATAACTACTTTCTTTTAAACCACAGTCTCAAACATCTTTGCACAGCGATGATGTTTATCTAATTTTTTATATTTAATTATGTCATACATATTTACAGTTTAAATAAAGAAGAAAACATTACATGAGATAATTTATGCTAAAAGTTTTAAACTTTTTATCTTTATATATATAGAATACATATATGTGTGTTCACACATTTATTTTTTCCATTTATATGATATTCCTTCATTGGATGAGTTACAATTTACATAAGTGTTTGTCTCCTGTCTTTCCACTGGACTGTCAGCTCTAGAACCATGTCCATGTCCACAGAGCTGACTGTCACCATTGTATCCCCAGCACCAGCATAGTGACTGCTACATAATAGGCTCTCAATAAATAACTGATAAATGAGTAAATAAACTTTTGTATTGTTTTCAGTTTTTCTCCATTACAAACATTCGTCCACATGTAACTTTGGCCACACGTATTTTGTAGATTTTGTGTTGTCCTAGGTACAGAATTCTGAGCCAAGGCTACGTGCTTTGGAAGCCAAACTGCCTGAATTTGTATCCTGGTTGTACCACTTACAAACTGTGGAGTGCTGAGGCTGGCCCCTGAGAGTCACTTGTGCACATCTCTTCCCATTCCGAGTTCAGTGACCTCAGGTTGGTAGCTTGACATCTGCCACGGTGGAAGAGTTTACACCACAGGAATTGGCAAATGCTACAAATCAGAGCTTTTTCTTTGTTCTTTTTTTCTTTCTTTTTGAGAGTGCTAGTTTGCTATCATACCATTGCCATGACCATAGGAAAGTCACATAACCTCTCAGGGCTTAGACCACCTCATAGTCAGGGAGCCTGCTCTGCCTGCCTCCAGGACTCACCATTCACGTAGAAGTCTATGTGAACAGTGCCTTCTAGAATTGTGGAGTGCACAGCACTGCTCATAGGGCAGCTGTGAGGATTACATGGTTAACACATGTAACTGTGCAAGCACTTAGCCCAAGGACATTCAGCACTCAATACATGCAAGTGATTATTACATTGTTATTATAGATATATGTACTATTTTATGTGTTTCCAAATGCTCTCCAGGAGGGTACCAATTTAACTCTCACCACCAGTTTCCTTCCTCCTTTGCCATGAGTGAATATTATTGGTCCTTTGCCCAGTCTAATTGCTGAAAAATGTTGAATTATGGCATTCATTTGTTTTTCATTGATTATTGGTGAAGCCAGGCATCTTTTCATTTGTTTATTAGCCATCGGATTTCCATGAATTATCTGTTTATGCTCCTTGACTATTTTTCTATCAGTATCTTCTTCTCCTCCTCTTTCTCCTTAAATTGATCTGTAAGAGCTCTTTGTACATACTTTTTTTCAACATACGTGTTGCGAGCATTTGACTTTGGTTTATCCTGTTTTGTTTTTGTGGTTTTTTGCTACACCAAAGATATTTTAAATTTTTTGTATTAAAAATCATTAATGTTTTCTGGGTTTGGTATCTTGCTTACTAAGATGTGCTAAAATTATAAACATAATCTCAAAAAAATTCAGTAATTACAGCAGAGTATTTCATGTTTGGACAGACATCTAGGTTATTTTCATATCTATCTATCCTTTATCCATTTATTTATTTTAGTATTATAATTATAAGTATATATCACATAATTATAAATACATATATTCATAAGTAGCTATTTTGCTGTCATAAACAACTCTGGTTCAACATTCTTATAACTATATTTTTGCACACATCTCAAAATTTCTCCATCAGGATAGTACCAAATTGTCCTCCGGAAAGGTTATATTATTTTTCACCCTCGCTCTCACCATAAGAAAATGTTGTTATGTATTGAGAAAATAAGAAATCTGTGAAGCAAAATGTTGTTCACATTGAGATTCTGAGATGCAGTTTGTGGTGTTTTTTTTTTTTTTTTGCAGGTGAGAAGATGTCTCAGTGTCTTCCCAATCCTGATTTTGTTATATCTTCACCACATAAATTATCCAAACACGAAGACTGAAATGCGTTGCTAAGCTCTTTATCAGATTTGGGGAAATCACAACAATTGTAAAGGCAGTTTGAGCTGCTGCAGAACGTTCATTGTGAAATCTCTTAAAGAGACGTTGCACAGACGCAAAGAGAGGCTCAACAACTAAAGAAGCATGCGATCTGCCCAGGAGGGCGCGAAGACCACGCCGCCTGGGACATGAATTAGAGAAAATAAGAATGGGAGTCCTGAGGTTCACAGGAACCACGGGTTTCTGGATGGATTGTCAGAAGCGTAAATGTGGTCTGAAGATGTCCAATCTATTTCTGGTGTGAGCTGTCACACTGCAAATTCACCAAAGGGTGTAGGAATGATTTCACACAACAGTTCACTCGGTGATTTACGTGAGTGAGGCCGTGGGATCATATGACGTTGGTGAGCCAATAGACAACAGCCCTGCTTTCCTCTGACAATCAACCAACACTGCGAGATGACAGCAGCCAATATGACTGAGAACGGCGAAGGCATAATAACATTTACATTGATGTTTTCAGCCGCAATTGCTACATACTTTTTCTCTGCTGTTGCGAAGATGCGATATGTTCATTGTACAATAAATCCCCCCAGCCTTCATTCTTTAAGGCTTTCTAACCCAAATTTGATAATTTCACAGCAGCGTTGTGGTTTGCTATTACTCGAAAAATGGAATCAATATCTATCTCATATATATGGTTTTTCAGGGATCATTGTTTCTATTTCTTGAATGCCAGTACCATTTAATCAAAAGGCGAAGTTCAAGAAAAGGCAAGATTATATTGTCCTGAATGTTAAACAATATTCTGCATGCATTAGACATTGATAAATTTTCAAGGAACATCTAGTGGCTAATCCCTGTTCCTTTAAGATAAAAGATTCAGCAGTTACACACACCCAACTCTTATATCCGGACCAGAAAAAGACGATAATTTCGCAAGATTGAATCAGCTCTTTAGACACACACTACCATGTTCTTGAGGGAGAAAGAGAAAATAAAGGTTAAAATGAAAAGAACGAATTACAGTCTAATTTTTGTTTATCTTTAACACTTATAAAGATGTAACTCTTTCTTAGACCTTGGTGTATTTTTTAAATAAAGCTGTCAAAAACAACCCTCACAACCCAAAAATGACAACCGCGGAATTTTAAAGGCTGATTGGTTATAGTGCGGAGAAAGTAATAGAAACAGCTATCCATGATGCACACAGAGGACCGGCTTGCTAAGATTCCTCTCCAGGGATGGATAAAGTTTGTCTGCCTTTTCTTACTCCTCATTTGGACAGCAAGTCTGGGGGAGACGATGTGGTGTAACAGAACTGTCATTATAGCCCAAAGCAGGGCACCCAGCTTTAATCTCGGCCGATTGATAACTATCTTTCTTCCTTGAAAGCATTGCTCCACTTTTCGGACCCCATGTCTTTATCTGTAAATGAGCAATTCTAGGAAAATTCCAGGAATCTCGCCACTAACACCTATAGGGAAAGTGGTCTTCTCTTTCAAGCTGGAGGAAATTTGAGAGAGCAGATAGCCACCGAGTGTAGAAGATCTGAGTTCTTTCTAGTGCAGAGTAGAAAAGAAACAGGAAAGGATGCTGGTGTTCAAGGGCTTTCAACTGTGAGAAGGGTGTGGACCACGCAGCCCTCCAGGGAGGCAAGAGAAGACTCAGCATTGTCTGAAAATTATGACTGCTGGATCCAGAGAGTGGGACTGTCTGTCGCACTCATCCTGTATTCCCAGAGCCTCACACGGTGCCTGGCACGCAGTAGGCGTCTGACACAGATTTACTGGAAAGCGAATAAATGTTAAGCCTCAGGGTACCTTCCATTTGCATTCTAAGATATGTTCACTTTTATACCTAACTCAGTATTTGCAGTTTTATGTTCTTTCTCATAAGATGGTCTCCCAAATCCTATAAACTTCAGGCCCCACAAACCTCTATCTGCCTCTTATAGACATGCAATAAATGTTTGTTTACCTAACGAGAAAAAAAGAAAGGTGCGAGGGTAAGGAAGGGGAGGAAGAAAACCCAAACCTCCCCGAAACAGTGGCAACTAGGAGGATCAAATTCAACCTCGATGAGTCAGAGGCAGCATTCCCAAACTGTTGCCAGACAGTAACAGGCAATGATTTACCTCAATTAATTCAGCCAGTTAAAAGCTTAGTTCTTAATTGCCAACAGGAGGCTGAAAGGCAAATGTGTTAGACTGTCTTCCTATTCCGAGCGATTGCAGTAGGGGCTGAAGCATCTCTGGAGTGAGGGGAGGTGAGTATGGAGGGGCTTTGCGTCTGGCACCATGCTAGGTGCTTTCACATACCTTTGTTATTGTTAGTGCTGTGGGATTGGTTCTGGCTCCCAGCAACCCTGTGGACAGCAGAGCGGAACCCTGCCTGGTCTTTTTGTGCCGTCCGCTCACCTTCTGGTGCTGTATCAGACAATGCTCCGCTGCTGTTCACAGGGGTTTCATGGCCAATTTTTTCACCACTGTTTTTGGAAATGGATGGCCAGGTCCTTCTTCCTATTCTGTCTAGTCTGGAAGCTCCTGTCCACCGTGGGTGACCCTGCTGGGATTTGGAATACCGGTGACATAACTTTCAGCATCACAGCACCACACAGCCACCACAGTGTGACAACTGACACACAGGTGGTATAGTTCCTGGACTGGGAAACGAACCCAGACTGTAGTGGTGAGAGCGTCGGATCTTAAAACTAGACCACCAGGGCTGGCTCTCATCCCTTACCTTAGCAAATTTATTGTTCTCATTTCATAGATGAGGAAACTGAAGTTCAGAGAGGTGAAATAATTTTCCTTAAAGTCATGCAACTAGTTAAGTGGTCAAGTTGGGATTTGAACCTTGATCTGTTGAGACTAAAATCTTATATATGTTCTTCACTACTCCATGTTATTCCACAGTGAGAAAATAGAGGGTCCTTTTAGTGGGTTGTAAAAATCTAAATAAGAAATAAAGGCACAAAGGAGAACAGTAGAGAACTGATGTGAACAGGATTAATGGATGTTGATATCGATTTATTACCTGATTACTTTATGACCTGTGGCATCTTTGTTCTGCTGCTTACTGGGACAAGACCCATATAATTCAGTGTAGACTGGGAAGAATCTGTGCATTGGGGACATAGGAACTTCAGGAATCAGTGAATTTAGAGGAGTGATTTGAAACAGAGGCTGTAGATGGTTCAAAGACCAAATCTGAGGAAATTTCTAATCAGAGGAATCAAAAAAGATGCTGAGACCGAGGGGATAAACAAGAACCTTTCTGTGGATTAAATTTCTTTATAGTTCTGCAGAACTCTTGGTTATTCATTCCTGGAGTGGGCTGCCCTCCGAGAAGTCAGTGTTTTGGGCACTGCAATGCGTGTAAAGCTGTGTTAGTTTATGGATCATCCAAAAGAAACACACGCCTTAATCCCTGCTCTTGAGACCTCACAGGACAGTTGGGGGTCAAGATACAGCCCCAGAACACAGGTGATAGAATCATCTGCCATGATAGAGGGTAAATTATGAGAAAAGGGTAGGAAATAAGGCAAAAATATTATACACGACTAATTTTGTGGATTTCCTGACATTTTTTAGAGCCTCACAGTTTAGAATATGGTTTTATGTGCACCCTCAAGACAATCTTGTGACATAGGCAGGGAAGGTATTATTATTCTCGTTATGTAGAGGAGTAAGGAAAGGAAGGCTCAGAAAGGTGAAGTGAATTGCCTAAGGCCACTCAGCTGGTGAGCGGTAGAGCTGGGAGTCAAGCTTATTTCCTTGGATTCCCAGGCCAGTGCTCTTTTTGTCAGACAGTAATCCTTTACAGTCATATTTACTGGGCGCCATCTTCATTACCCAATGCATTTTAAACAAAGTGGCAAATTTTCTATTCACTGAATTGGCACCTAGTGCACTACTTTGACTCAATATTTAAAAATGTGAGAGTAGAAGTCTAGGAATTTGGAACTGGGCTAAAAATATATTTGGACACATCCTAGGAGTTGACAACTGGTGTGCTGGTAAAATGGCGGATGGGCGGGTGGGGAGTCTGCTTTGTAGCATTTGCTGATTTCCATAGTGTAAATACGCCACCACAGCCGATTTTAAACTACCAACAGTTTAAGGACTAGTTTAGGAAAATCTTGAATATCTAACAAAGCGCTCTTAGTTGGTAAGAAGCTAGCACATTGCTGGCAGTTGTCTCCTCAGTCTTTTTCACTCTTATTTTTCGTGCTCAGAAGCATCTTGAGAGAAAATTTTGGACCGAACTTGAAAATCTTGAGTCTTGTGCTGGGGTTCTGCCTTCCTCTCTTTACTTGTGCCCGTCCATTAGAATATGAATTCCGATTCTGTATCTCATTGATTTTTTAAAAGTAGCTTGACTTTATCTGTCTGACATTCACAAGCTGACTATGTTATTGATAATTACTTCCCCTTTTTAATTCTTAAAGAGCAATGTATATCCTGGTGGATCTGAAAATCAGACTTCCAGGGCCGATAAGAAAGACCTGCTTTCATTTAAATATTCTTCCTTCCCTGATGGTCTGCAACATTCCTATATGAAACTAATCTATTTAAGATCTCCACCTTTGCTGAATTTAGTGCAGTTCAATGTTAATGAACGTCTAATTCTGAGTTTCTGACGTTTTGCTATTCCTTCTCTTCCTGGCACTCCTTTACCATGACTGAGTCAAAAGATCTGCTCTATTCACGTTGCTCTGAAAATCTGAGGAGCAAGGTATCCATTCAGTTTTATTTCTCCCTGGTGGGTGCAGTTCTCATCGGATACTAATGAGAATTACAAATGTGGGTAAAGGAGAAACCAGTGCCTTCAGAATTGAGGGGCTGGTTATTTAAAGATGTATTGCCATGGCACTTAAGGAAAATGATTTATCTGTTTTGTTTTGTCCTCCTATAAATCAAGAATACAGCACAGCGTTAAACATTCCTCAATATTTATGCTAATATATATTTGGGTTTACATACTTGACACTAATTCAGGAGGAACAGTGGTATTAGAGTAATGGCTACCTGTGACAGCCTCGGCGGTACTGAACAGCCGCCTTAACTCTTTATTAGACTGTGGGTGCCCCTGCGCAGAGCAGACACGGCAATGATTCCCTGCCAGGAGCAGACTCCCCGGTAGGTGCATTCCGGTGATTTCTCTTCCTTTGTTTGGTTTAGTTTGGGGCATTAGGTTAGCAACTGTATTTATAAATTTCTTACTAAGGAATCACCTGACCAGAGAGAAGAGACACTGGACGCACTCTGTGGGAAATTGGAACCCAGAAAGTTTGACTGTATCTGCCAGTCTCGGAATAATCCACAGATCCAGTGAGCAAACAAATAAAATACAAACGTTTGTAAAGGACAGACTTTATGTCCACTAAGTAAATTTCCTCCTTTTCTGCCACTGTCTCGGCATCACCAGATGCGACCCTCTCAAATTCCTCAGCCTCGTTGTGCTTCAATTTCCTAGTAAAATGGGGATAATAATAGCACTTGCCTCATAGGATTACTTTGAGAGAGAGACAACACATGGACACAGTGCCTGTGTATGCATGCGGCAGGTGGGCTCAATACACGTTCTGCGGCCTGGCGTTTACCGCGCACAGCTGGAATCCTGATTCTATCTTTGCCCTCTCCATCCTACTGGAGTGTTTGTGAAAGTCCATTGGGCCCTGCCAATCACAGGCAGTTTTCTGAGATGTTTTGTTAGGGCTTCTCCTGGCTAGTCTGCAGTAGAAACTCAGAGACTTGCTGGAGTTCATTGCATTGTGAGGGCTCTCAGTGCCTCACTGAACTATATGAATTGGGCCAATCTCTGATTAGCTGCCTGGGTGACCTTTGCGGGCAGAACCCTGCAACTTTACTTTCCATATTCCTCAGTGTCTGAGTGCGTTTTTGATGTTGCCTATCTGCACCCATGCACACATTTAATTTGGTAATAGGTTTCCTTTGGAAGATATAGCTGGTGTAGACTGACTACCATATCTCCCAGGAAAATTTGGGACTTCTTTGATTACTTTCGATGCAAAGTACAATGAGAATTCAAGCCCTTATTATTATTCTTGCTAACCAAGAGACATGCCAGGTTTAAAGTCAGATTTGTTTCTGTGTTAATAATCCATTTGTATTACCCTTCCTTGCAGTCCCTGTCTCTACTCCTGCTATCTTCAATGTGAGTTTGCACTTGTCAAAATGAATAATATGCAGCATCAATTCAAACTCCACTTTTCCAGTGTGTTCAGCTGTTATAGTTTCACTTTGCCTTGATTCTGTTGATTGCTATTAAATCCCGGATTGCTTTAAATTCTGTGAGATAGTCCTCAAAGCATCACTTATAAATTGTGTGCATTTATTAGAATCTTACTTAGAACAAAGAATATTCAAGCCCCTGGAAAAGTCTGCCTTCTACTTCTGCTCTCTAGACAGAAGAGGTTATAGCAGCATATTTTGTCTTTTGAGAAAAATTAATTGTTTAAAAAGTAAATATAATAAATTATTGTGGGAGGGGGTTTGGTTTTATTCTTTTCTTTCCTTTTTTATTTGGTAAAGAAAAAAAATAATCCAAACCCAACACACTTTAGTGAAGAGTGTGGATTGAGACCAAGATTTATAATAAATTCCTTTGTGTCCATCTGTACAATATTGATGTAAATGAAGTGGTAGTTGAATTTATTATGAGGGCATTGTTCGTATGCAATTTATCTGGATTTCAAAAGCCAACCTCTAGCTCTTTTATTTTTAGAAGTATGTTATTATAGACTACATTTTAAGAAATCCTGTCAGAGTATTGCAAATATTGTCTATTTTTCTATTTTAAAAAATTGGAACTGCTTCAAATAAAAACCCATCTAAAGTGTAGTTAAGTCAAGTTGCGTACGGTGAATAAAGTGTACTGGTTGTCAAGCATTGGTTGAGCACACCCTGCAAGCGCAGCCGTGCCCTGGATGCTGGGCATAGGAGTCCTAGGAGGCACTGCCCCAGAAGAGCTTATGGGGAGGGGAGGGGAGCTTATGGAGCTTATGATGTGTTGACTACCTTTTATCATCCAACGAGACACAAGTTTACCGTGATACTGACGAACCTTAAGCTTTAGAGTTCCTCATTTGCATGGGTTCCTTCCAATACCCGGGGTGGGGCCTAGGTAATATGTTCACTTGGCCACATGTTTTGTAAAGTTTAGAAAAGTAAGATATTTACATGCAATTGGTTAGGACCACTGTCTTTGTCCACTCCAACTTCTCTCAATACTTCCCCTATTTGGTAGCTGGTGTATTTGAAATAGCCACCAGTATTTTGGAGATCTGGTTGAGGGAAATTGGATTGGGACAGCATTTAGTTTGGGTTTCCTGAGATATATTTACAGGGTCTGCAGTCACTTCCGTGTCTAGTGAGGTTACAGTGTACAAACGGTGTCCCAGATATTTCTACTGCCCACTGTACTGACTCACTCAGCATCAGACCCCAAAGATGCAGAGCCCAGAAGTCATAGCACAGCATCAACATGCTTTGCATGACCTGGCATAAGAAATAGGTGAGCGATGAAGGAGACATGAGGTTTGAAATGTACAGAGCCAGAAACTACTCTCATTAATGACCAGTGAAAGCAGGAGTTTTTTTCTGTCAGGAATATACTCCATAATGAACCATATATCACCATACATAAACCCACTGCTGTAGATTAAATGTTTGTGTTCTCTCCAAATTTGTATGTTGAAAACCTAATGCCCAGTGTGATGGCATTAGGAGGTGGGCCCTTTGAAAGGTAATTAGGTCATGAGGGTGGATGGACCCTTCATGAATGGAATTAATGCTGTTATTAAAGAGACCCCAGAGAGCCCCCTCGCCCTCCTCCGTATGAGGTTACTGTGAGACGACAGTCATCAGTGAGGAAGAGGGCCTTTACTAGACATCGATCGGCCAGCAGCTTGATCTTGGACTTCCCAGTCTCCAGAACCATGAGAAATAAACGTCTGTTTTTAAGCCACCCAGTCTATGGGATTTTTGTTACAGCAGCCAAATGGACTAAGACACCCACCATACATTTTATCTTTTTTGATAGGAATGTGTGAAATAGAACAAAACACAATTCTTGTATTTGTAGGGTACAGACTTGTAGCCATATTGCAAACAGAGATTTGTCTGTTTATTGCATCCCAGCTGTCCATAACAGAACACAAATTTAGTTCAACTAAGCTAGAGCAAAGACCGAACTATCCTTTTATTCTTTCTATAAAAATCATATTACAAAATCATTTCCATATAAAGCAGTGATCAAGAGTATGCAAGCAAATAATGTAGAAAAAAATATTATAGGTATTCCAGGCAATTAATTAATAAAAATACTGTATCGTTCTTCTGAATTTTGTGATGCATGTGGCATTTGGCAGCTTAAAAATGCATAATTTCTGGGAATTTCTTTTCTCATTCTGAGTAAATTTTCGCTTTTATTTTATATGCTATTCTTTAAAGAATGCTCTCCGAATTGAAGAATTCTGGGTCCCACAAATGGGGACCCCCCCCCCCAGGCCCCAGCTCTGTGCCACTTTCAGGCACATTGATCTTATTTAAGGGTGTGATAGTGTTTGCTCCTCTGTTCCTAATGAGAAAACTGAGGCATCAAGAGGTTAAATCACTTTCCCGAGGTGAGCTGGTAAGTGCAGGCCTGGATTCACACCCTGGACAGCCTGGATTCACACACAAGCCTCTCATGGCTCCAGTGTGTCTTTTGTTCTTACTCAAGGCTGCCTTTGATGTCTGTCCTCCATGTGAGTCCCTTATGAGCTTTCTCTTTGATATCCATCCTTTCATATGTCCCTTGTGAACTTTCTCTTACAGCCCTCACAGTAGATTTTCCTTAACTCGTTAACTCTCCCCTCATTTTCAGCAAACATGTTTTTGTTATCTTCCATTTCACAGGGCAAGTAGAGGCCATGAGTGGGGATTTCCTCAGCCCTTCCCTCCCTCAGCCCCTCCCCCCCATCCTCCTGTCCTCTCCGTCTCAGTGAAGGACTCCTCTCTCCTTCCCTCCCTCCCACAAGCCAGGGGTCCTCCCAACTCCACCCACTCACTCCCTGCAGTCAGTCTGCTCCATGGGCAGAATTCAGCTGCCGATACTTCTTGCCCTCTGTCCCTCCTCCCTTCCCCTCTGCTCCTTCATCAGCTCAGGCCCTCACCCTGCCTGGCCTCCTTGGTCTTATTCTTCCTTAATCTGTTCTCAACTATGCTGCTGTCTGAACATTCGTCTGATCCTGTTACCCTCCTGTTTAAAGTTGTTCCAGTCATTCATTCACCCATCCAATGAATCCTTACTGAGGTGCTTCTTTGACCTGGGCAATGAGGATGCAGAGGAGAACCCAACAAAGTTCCTGCCTCATGGAGCTCACGTTCTAGTCAGGGAGGGGGACGATAAATGACATGTTAGTATATATGTGTGTGTATAAAATAAGAACAAGTATATATATGTCAGAGAATGATTAATAGATACATCCTAAGGCAAAAACTAAGCAGGGTAAGGGAGCCAGGGAGGACCAGTGACAGGAGAGGGCATTTGCTATTTTGTATAGAGCCTGCTTGGGGAAGGCCTCACTGCTAAAGGGACATTTGAGCAGAGATTTGTATGAAACAGGAATAGCCAGCCATGGGGATATGCAGAAGAGCATTCTAGGTGAGGAAACAGGGGGCAGGACCATGACTGCTGTGTTGGGGGAACAGCAAGGAGGGCGGGGCAGCGGAAGCTGAGTGAGAGGGGGAGATGGGGTAACAGCATGGTGTCGGTGTGCACATCCCTGAGGGCCTTTGGGCCGTTGAAAGACTTTGACTTTTGCTCTGAGAGGGCTGCGGAGCTATGGGAGGGTTTTGAACAGAGAGGTGACATGGACTCAGTTATAGTTAACGAGATCATTCTGGATGGTGCATTGAGAAGATTGTAGTGGGGCAAGAGCGGAAGCAGGGGGAATCGTTAGGAGGCTGCTGCAATGATCCAGGCAAGAGACGATGGTGGCTTAGACCAGGTGGTGAGAAGGGGGCAGATTCTGGATCTTTTTGCATGGTTCTCTGTGTCCTTCAAGATCAAATGCCAACTGCTCAGCATGTTATACCAGGCCCTTCATGATCTGCCTATTCCGCATCCCTCAGGCGCCCTGGGGACTTTGCACACGTTCCTCTGTGCTCCTGGAGCCCCTAGCTAGACCACTATTTTTTCAACTCCCTGTGTTTATCTCCATCCCTCTGTGTCATACCTGTCTCTTTGCTGAACTGTTTTCCTTTCCCACCCTGGACTGTGAGACCAGTGTGAATCCTTGAGGGAAGGAATAGTGGTGGAGTGTTTTAACCAGTGCTTGGTACATAAGAGGTACCCAGTAAATATTTGTGTCATAGATGAATATGTTCATTAATCAGGTTCAGCTTTGAGCTTCTAATTCTCCGCGGAATAGCCCTAGAGAAAGCTTTCCCTGCATAGGGCTGCGCACGGACAGTGGTAGGATTTAACTTTAGAACATAGGCATTGCCACCTCAGGGAGTTTTTAGAGTGAGGTAGCGTTTAGACAAACAAACAAACAAAAAGAAAAAAATTTAACAGTATAGGCAAAAGGAGTGTAGAGCGGCTAAAAGTTATGGAATAAAAATAAAAAGAGTTGTTATTTATAGAGTGTCTACTCCAAGCCATACCCTCTGCTGGCCTCTTAGCTATGGAAGCAGAGATTAGACTGGAGACTTATGGGGCCCTGTGAAGGCCAGCTGAGTGTGCTTTTGAAATGCTAAGCTTTGAAGAGCTCACCCATCCTCCTGTAGAGGCAGACGTCACAAACATGGTGAAAATGGCATTTGTGAAAGAATGTGGAAAATGGAGCAAAGGGGTGAAGGTCCCTTGGCTGTGCCCCATGTGTCACAGTACTACCAGTACTGCAAAGATACCCATTCTTCTTGGCAACCACAGCAACACTTAGAACTGACATCACTGCTGGGTACCCTGACTGGAACTCATTTGTTAGTCTTCACCTCACTGATTTTCTCTCTTTATGTCAAACACTTCGTCTGCATGGCCACCTTTTGTTCTAGCTGCTGCTACTGTAATTAGCTTCATGCTGACCGAATGTGACAGGACCTCACCTCAGCTACACCACGGATCTCTTGCTTCCTGCCTGAGGCCCCTCTGACATCACGGTTGAGAGAGATGCCTATGGAAACCCACTCACACATGCAACCTGGAAGTGTGGAAGGTAAGGCCTCACAGGCAACCTTTGGTCCATGGGAATGGGAGGCTGAAGAGAAATGCTTTCTCCGTCTGCTCCCCAGGCAGATAATTGAGAGGTACATTCTATACAGTTTCTCAGAAGGTTCTGGTGGGGTTGAGCTGGAGTCACCCACAGCATTGACCAATGGAACAACATATCCTTCTCTCGACTTTCTCTCCTGTTTTATCGTCCAGTGTCTCACTCCCGTTTCCTGGGTTCCCCACTCTACCAAATGCAACCCACTGTCTTAGACTCTGCTTGGAAGAGGCATTTTGGGGTAAAGGGTTGAAGGGGATTCCTGGCTCAGAAACCCACACTTAGCACCATTAATTTATATGGACATTAGGGCTCTATCTTGGAGCCAAACGACACATCTGCAGACAAATTCAGAAAAGGAGCAGTGCAGGGAAAGCAAAATTGTCAGAATGGCTGGTCAAACACCTTCTGTAAAAGAATTTGTTTTCACTAGATATTCTAAAAGTTACCCTTCGGCGTCAATAGGTCAATCCATTTCTCTTATCCATAATGTGTACGCAGGCCCCACTGAGACCATCTTTTTTCAGAAACAAATGACCTCAAGCTGAGGATCCCTGTGAGGTGATCTGCTGCCTTATCACCTGATAAATGGACTTTCACATAAAGACATCATGGATTCTGCTGCCAAGAGTGTTTTAAAAAAGGAGTATTTCTCACTGTGAAATGTCCTGTGAAGGCAGTTATCACAATTTTGCTGTGAGCTGTCATAGCAAATAGTTGTTTTGGAGTTGATATGGCATTATTTTGTCAAGTCTTTCATTTATTAATTATTAAATGAGGAAAATTCTGATAATGTTAATATTCTGTTTCTAAAATGTAATATTTTTCCATAGAAATTTTCCTAGGGATCAGGAATCATGGAAACACCTTATTATTTTTATACAAGATGGATTTGTGTGGACAAGAGAAATAGATTCCAGAACTCACAGATACAAAGCTGCCTTATTACCTGAGTCCCTTTCATTATAAAATGTGCACAGGAGCAAAAAGTGACCATAACATGAACGTATTCACTGAGGTTATGCATTTACTTGTAAAATTAGCCCCCACTTAAAAATCTCTCCCCTACTTAATGCTCAACTTGCCAATTACTTTGACAAAATAATATAAATCTACTGCAAAGTGAAGTTGCAAATCTTGCAAAAAACGCAGGATTTTGTGAAGTTGATAAAAGCAATGTTTACAATTGTTTGAATTACACACAAAGCTACTGACAGATGGGAATGAAAGAATTAGAAAAATGAGCAATATGTAAAAGAGAAAAAATCAGGGAGAATGATGATGGAATACTAATTCATCAGAAATGTTTGAAAATCAAATGATTAAGAGGGCCCTTGAGAAAACGATGACGTTCTAAAAGATTTTACCATTTTTATGATAGTAAGGGATACCATAATGTGGTATACCATGACAAAATTTGGTAGAAAAATTATGTGAAGAAAAGCTCTCCTTTGTTTCATTCTTGGTTCTAACAAGTAATTCACAGTTGTAATTATAACCCCAAATTTAAAATATGATAAAGTAAACCACTTTTAATAATTTTTAGTTTTGTTTTTCAAGGTGAAGTCTCTTCCAAAGCTTACCCTCAGGCTCTGACTTTTACTCTGAATTTTTAGTTTTCGCTTTAAACAGATTCATTAGCAGAAGCTTTTTCCCATTACCAAGTATTACGAATTATTCTGTATGTTAAATGATAGACTCACAGATCAGGCATTTTGGAACTTGGAAAGCATTTTTGAGAAATCTTCAGCCTTTGTATTCTCACTTTGCAGGTGAACTTCTAAGAATTTGGATGACACAGCTGATTGTCAGGGACGTGGCAGGTAGAGAGGAAGCGACAGGTTCTAAGGCTCATGACACTCAACATCGTTCTCCCTGCACGGTGCTTACACAACTTTGCCCAGATCACGGAAGTCCTCTGCATCTGAGCTGAATTATACTTGACACAGACCGTGTCTAGGAAGTTTTTGAAGATCACTGAGAAAAGGTGCCACCAAAAATTTAAAAACAGTTAGTTAACTCTTATTATTTGGGTCTCTGGAATAGAATGAAAGTGCAGATAATTGAAACAAAAACTTTGAATGTTTAGAAATATTTTAGTTCTGTTCTGTTTCATAATGTATGACCTATTCTCAAAATTACATTATATTTGATTTTTACTCTGGAAGTTTTGAAATGGCTTTTGGCCAAAAGCATTAAAATTCGGACCCAATAATCTAAAACAGCAGATCGTTCGGGAAGTATTTATGTTGAGCTTTGTGAAACGTTACAGAATATTTCTGGTAGTAGATCTATCTTTTGTAAATATGTTTTATTTAGGAAAACGTTAAAATTAGTTTTTCTTTCTTGAATACAAATCACTAATAGTGGGTGGGTAGAGGAAGTCAGTTTTAAATTAAAAATTTGTCTTAGATAATCCATGGAGCCAAGACTTTGCACATGGATGTTACAGAGTTATTCGTATTCTAAATTTCAAACACATTTGTTATCCAGAAACTTTTCAGGTGCTTAGCAAAGTAGAGGCTTTTCTAGATTTAGCATTTTTAAGGCATTAAGAAAATACTCAAAATTTAGAGAGATATTTTCAGACCGTTAAAGATACTTATTATCAATAAGAAAAACAAATAGAAAAGAACTCATTTTGTTATTCATTTCTTCATACTTGATTCCCTCCCCTCTTCCCTTCTTGAAATTACAGCTGGTAAACAGATGGCAGGCACAAAAGTTACACAAATAAGAGACACACACACACACATCCTCTTAATGGGGGGCCCTGTTTGTTGGGGTGTCCAGTGAGGACTCCTGGCTGAGGGGGCCCCAGTTATCCGTTCTCAGTCAGAGCTACCATGGAGAGGGAAGGGTTTTGGGATATATTAGCTCTGCATGTGTGTCTCACAGCAAAAGACCTTGGTAAGTCACATATCCTAAGTCCCAACATTGTGGAGCCTTCTCTCCATTCCTATGTTCTTGAGATTTTCCCTCAAGTCCCTGGGAGGCAGAAATGCTTCAGAGGCGTTTTGAGCAGGAGCATGACACGATCAAATTCAAAAGACTGTTCTGGCTGCAGTGAGGAGAATGGACTTTGCAGGGGTGGGGCGGGGGTGGGGAGAGGTGGAGGAGGGAGGAGGGGGAGTAGGGATGGAGAGGATGCAGAGAAACTAATAGTTCTTGCAGTGGTTCAGGTGGCAGTGATAGAACCTGGGCTAGAGAAGTGCCCAGATTCCAGAAGAATGGAGTTGAATCAATAGGGCATGGTGATGAATTGGCAGTGAGAATGAGGAACAAGGAGGTACCAAGGAAAACTCCCAGGTTTCTGGCTAAACATCTGGTTGGGAGGTGGAGCCATTTGCACATATGGGAAAATTGGAATAGGTAGAAATTTGTAGGGGAAGATCAAGAGGTCCATTTTGGACGTGCTACGTGTGAGATACCAGTAGAACATTCAGGTAGAGATGTCAAATAGACCACCCAGAGCTTAGAAGAATGGTGTGGAGGGCTGGAGACCAACATTTCAGGGCATTTTATGTTTTTCAAAGCACCTATACAAATTTTATTTCATTTGATCACGTAGCGATACCTTTATGAAGTTAGAGCAGATAGTGTTATCCTTTATTTCATAAGTGGGAAAATTGAAACAAAAAGATGTTCAGAGATTTAGCCAAGCTCATGTCCCCAAATCCCAAGGACATCCTATGGAACATGGTCATTTGTTCCTGTTCTTCCATCTCAGTCTTACTGAGTGTTTTAGTCTGATTTAAGGCTTGTTTTCTACAGGTGGGGCAAGAAGTAGGCTTTTTCTCCTTTGCTGAGATTTCCAGACTCCACAAGTATTGACAAGGCACAAATCAAATTTATTGCTGTCTCTTGTCTTGAGGTCCAGTGAAAAAAGAAAGAAAAGGATCGCTAGCTCAAAAGGGGGGTTCAGGGCCATGGTTCCCATCAATCCAGACAGACTGGACATGGCAGAAAGGGTGGGAGTATACAGCCTGTGGGCTCTGAAGAAAACTGGTCCTTCTGTGTCTGCTCAGTGGGGGGACAGCTCTACCATCCGTTGGATCCCAGCAAGGATGAAAGCAGACCCGTCGACTAAGAGTCTGTCCTGTTGCTTTCAGCAGTCCTAGAGAGATGGTCCTCAGGCTCTCCCTCATACAGGGTCCTGACTTACTGAGAGTGTCTGGGTGCCAGGAGTTCAACTATCTAGGCATAAAATGCATCAGTTCTTTTAAAACTTCTGGCTAACAGCCAGTCACATTTCCAACCTCTTTAGTGTCTGTAAGACCCCTCTGTTGTAATCAAGGTGCAATAGCTTAAATTTTTGAGGGTCAGTCTGATGACCAAAGAAAGAGTCTTGTAAACAGTGTTGTTCGCTAAGTGAACCGCATGCTCCCGGGAGGTGCGCGTCTCAGAAACCAGTACCGAGACTTCTGATTCCTTTGCCCCTTCTCGCTAGTGTAGCCCCTCTAGCTTTTAACATTTTTTCTCTGTGTGTATTTGAACGCTCCCTCCTTCTTTCAGCTCCAGCATACCTTTTTCTCCTTTTATTAACTTGACATTGAACATGTCCCCCCTCAGCTGCTACACACATTCTATTTTCAGGAGAAGGTGAATGTGGTTGCATTTTGGGTTCATCTAACATCTTGAACTATTTTTCAGATATTGTGGGTAAAGCCAAACCCTAAATAGCTTTAGCTGAACACTTTCCTCTTAATTTCTACCCTCATATGTATTTAAAGGGAAATATATTCCACATGTTTCTGATTTCATTTATCCCTAATTCCTAAAGAGCTTATTTTCTGAGATGTGGTTGAGATTCCAGAAGCTTTATGAACCTTTTCTTCCCCATTCAGTCAAACTCATCTTTAGAAAACCATTTTTTTAAAAAATTTTTTTTTATTTTTAAGATTTTATTTTTTCCTTTTTCTCCCCAAAGCCCCCCCGGTACATAGCTGTACATTCTTCGTTGTGGGTCCTTCTAGCTGTGGTATGTGGGACGCCGCCTCAGCGTGGTCCGATGAGCAGTGTCATGTCCGCGCCCAGCATTCGAACCAACGAAACACTGGGCCGCCTGCAGCGGAGCGCGCGAACTTAACCACTCGGCCACGGGGCCAGCCCCTTTAGAAGACCATTTTGAACCAAGAGTCAGTGACTTAATTACTGGAGTTTTCTTCGGAAATATGTCTATTTTGGAAATTATGGCCCAAAAAGTGTCCACAGTTCTCTTCCAATCTCCAATTTTCTGTCTTCTTTGGTCCGCATATTTAGGGCGTTAAAAACTGCACACACATGCAAGATTTTCTTTTGACTTAATCTTTCCGATTTCAATCACCCAACAAAGATTTACGTAGTATCTCCTGTAAGTCCAGTGCTGGGGTAGGTCCTTAGGGGATGTGGAATATGATAAAATTAATTTTGAATAAGATGCCTTTCACATTCCCGGGCAGTCAAGGGGGCGGGGTGTCCATGACTACTGAGCAGGTGGCAGGACAAGAGGGCAAGTTAGAAGTCCTGAGACCCAGTGTGCTCCCAGGGGGCTCGGAGAGACAGAGGAGGAGGAGAAGGGGAGAGACTGGGGGCACCAGGGATAGGGAGGGACATTGGAGATGAGACTGAGGAGAGCGCATCTGTGCTGCGCTGCGAGAGCAGGAGGCCTGGCACCCTGACTCTGAGCGTCTGTCTTTTGAGATTACAGATCATTGTGGCAACAGGAAGGGGTCACCGATGGAAGTCAGTTTTCACCTACCAGTTTACTCTCACACCAAAGGAAAAAGCAGGTAGAGAATTTACTCAGAACTCCCTTCCTCACAGGTCACTTGGGACTTGGGACACGCCCTGTGAAAAACTTACAGGAACTAGTTTTTTCTTTCAAAAAGATATTTCTAAAAGAATAAACAAACTCATGCAACAGCACTAGATCCACAAATGACCGAAACACCAGCTATTTCAAATGCACAAACACTTCAGAAGCCGGTGGGGGAAATGAGGAAATTCCAGCAAAAGAAAAGGAGAAGCACTTGAAAATAGGTGGGGCTCATTTCCTCCATCCGTGGAATTTTCTTCAACACTTGCCTCAAGGCTCAGTGTTTCTGGCATTAATAATTCACAGGAAAAGGTAATGAAGTAACCCCAGCCTAGGCAGGAATGCAGGTGATTTAGAGCCTGGATGAAGGGCGCCCCTTACAGAGAGTATTCCATCCTGGCCCTCTTATGCATGCCCCTACCACACTCTCTTGGGTTTCTTCTAACTGATTCAAGTGTGGTTTCGTTAATAATAAAGAATAATAAAGAATATATTAGTGTGTGGCCAAAGAATTGCCACCTCAAGCTTGGGACAGCTGACTGTACATCAATTCCGCTTCCACAGCCAGTTTCTGTTGAGACGGCCTGATTATCTGAAGGCAGTTCTTGGATCATGTATATGAGGAGGAGAATTACATGAAGATTTAATGAGCGAAGATTCAGCAGTTTCGTTTTCAACATGCCTACAATTTCAAGGAATCACTTGAATGCACCCTACCTTGAAGGGTGCGGCGCACCTGGAACCTGTTTTTGTGGACGCAATTCAGGGATTCAAATGGCAGACATGGTGCCATCTATAGAAAGTGACTCAGGAGCTGATGAGAGGGACCACTGCGGCAGTGTTATTCCTACCCAGAGTTTCCCCAGAATAGTGAGCGTGGACTTAGCACCATTATTAAAGGTCTGTATGGCTCAGCCCTTATCCTGGTCCTGTCGGGTAGAAAGAAGGGAACCGAGAGCAGGCCACCTGTCCAAACCGAGAAAGTATGTTCACGGCCAGAAGAGATGAGCTCTCAGTCCTCTGTGTCTGGCTTGCTGCTCATTTCACTGGCTCAGCCTCTCCTTTTGGCTCCTGATACTCACAGAGAAACCCACTGGCCTTCCTCCTCAGTTAACAGAGCCATCTTGGTAGAGGGTGACGCTGTCTCCCGTTCCCCCCAGCAATGCCAGCGTCCCTGTGGAAGCAGCAGACATGCTCCCCCTCTCTCCCTCCCTGCCTCCCTCGCCTCAGCCCCTCCGCTGTGCAGTGGCTGTGGCTGACTCTGCTGGAACCGCCAGGGCCCCTGTGTAATGTTACTTGACTTATACATATTTTATTATGTTTGGCTGTTGGTGATATTTAGATGAAAATTATTTCCAGATTATAATAAAGGCTGCCCTCTATTAAAGGAGTGCAGTTAGATCACTGGCCATATTAAAATCCTCAAAATTGGGGACCATATATCAAAGGTTTGAGGAAGCAGGGGTTTCCAAGGTGGGGGAGGTGACACGGGGAACCCAACAACCCACATGTAGTATTCTTGGCTTAAAGGAACCTGGGAAAAGATTTATACCACATTTATTATGATGCTGCAACATCACCAAGGATATAAACCAGTCATTGGCACTCTTTCAAAGAACACATCATTGTAACTCGTTATAACAATACTGCTGTGATATGTGCTCGTAATATTTATAAAGGCTAAGCTATGAAAACAGTACATGCCAACTGTCAGCAGTGATGTATCATTTTTAAAAAGAGAATGTACACGACATAATGGTTTAAATGAACTCTGTAAAAATATGCCGCTCTGCTGAAGCTGTTTGGCACCCTGGACCTCCAGTGTCACGCACTGCTTTCCAGGATTCGCCACAGCTTGGCCTCGGGCAGCTCTCTCTCCTTCCTGTAGCTCCATTTGCTATTTTCAGAAATTCTGCAGTGTTCTTAGCAACCTCACCTGATCCTGTGTCTGGTTACTTAGTACCTAGCAGATGGCTTTGCTAAGAATGCACGCAATCGATATGTGTGGGCTGATTTGATTTTTACAGAAACGTGGGGTACTTGTTGGCCAGTCAGACGGTGGGGCAAATGGTTTTGCTTCCATCTTGAAGGGGGTCACGTGGTCTGGCTGACGAATTGGCTCCTGATTTTGGACCTGCTCTGTGAAGATGCTCACGGAGCTTTTCAGAAACCAGCATGCTGTGATGAACCAACCGTTTCCCAGTGAGATGGCTGCTGGACAGTTGAAACCACAGCAGCAAATGCA